CGATTGTCTTGCCATTTCAGTGTTCGTTCCTTTGTGCACATTCCTCTGTTCCTGGAGCGTCTCTGTCTCGGTGTCATGTTTTTCTCCACAACTCACAGACAAGCTCCTAAAATTGATATATTTCCATTCTGTGAGCCCTCTGCTTTCCTCACAGCCAGTTTTTGGTGTTCAGTTTTGATCATGGCGGTAGTAGCATTTGCCCTTGACTTTCCCCCGTCCATACTTAGGTTAAATTTCCTAGGGACATGGGGATTCATGTGTAAAGAAGCCAATAAAAATATCATAATAGTAATTTAAAAATCTGGTAGCTGCAAGAAGGCATGCCCCCCATAGGCAATATTTCTTTTCAGGAATGTTGAACTTTATTTTATAATGTGAAAAAAAATCACAGTTGAATACAAATTGTTTCTATCATTTCTTCAACAGAGAAAACCCAGCAAAGTCATATGTTATATTTATTTTATATATCATTTATAATGTTTAAATCTTCGTTCAGGTGGTGCTTTTGCCTAGAGCACAGAATTTTTTTTCCCCATAGAAAAATTGTGACTGAATGATTACTTCATTGGAGAGAAGGCTTAAGACTTTAAAAATGCATTACTCTGAAGTATCTATTTATTACAGTTATGAAATAATACATTGACTCAGCTGTATTGTACATTAGAACAGCCTACCTTTATATTTTAATGTAAAGAGAATTGGAATGTTGTTGATTTATAAAGACAGTTTAATTATATTAAAAGATTGAATAAAAGATTACTCCATAAACAGACATTCTGCTGAAATTAATTGTCAGTTTGTTATAAATGGCTTTTTTTTTTAAAGACCTCTAGATGTCTTTGGCATATATCAGAATTATTTTTGTTTTAAAAAGTAGTAAATAGAGTGATATGAGCACCTCATGAGTTTGTACAACCACACTAATTCAATTCCTGAGGAAACATTTTCCCCTTGGAAAACAGACCTCTTGTAGTGTTCAGCTTCTTTTATAACTTTCTGTAAATTAAAAATATCCATATTGTGTTACTCTGTTTAACTCCCACTAGGGGGCAACAGAGACTATTATATGGAGAAAAGCAAGTATTGGAAATTTCATTTGCAGGTTTTAGTTCAAAATAAGTTTTTCCTTGTTATTATTTTGTTTTTGTTTTTTAAATAGGAGTTTCTGAGATTCTTTGTAACTAAAATAAATAACTGTCTTGAGAATAGTGTTTTTTGACCTTTTCTCAGTGTATATCCATTATCAGGATAGGCTTTGTTTGTTCTGGATTTGAACGCAGTAATGGAATATGTTCTAGCTTATTACATTCAACTCATGCATCTTATAAATATGTTATAAAATCGCCTCAGATCAAATTGTAAATTCTCTAAGTATATTACTTTTATTTTACCTTTTTGTTTTGTATTTTTGGAGATGGGTCTTGCTCTGTCACCCGGGAGCGTAGTGGCATGATCATAGCTCCCTGCAACTTCAAACTCCGGGGCTCCAGTGATCCTCCTGCCTTGGCCTCCCAAAGCCCTGGGATTACAGGGGTGCGCATCATTCCTGGCCATCTAAGCATATTATTATTTTTTGAGATTATCTTTTTTTTTTTCAGTAGAGGAGCCAAAATTTAGAACTTGTTCTCTTGTAGTCAAGAGGTGCTATGTGAACATTTTTCTGATCTTTCTGGGGTGCTCTTCTCCTCATTTTATTCTGGTTAGGGTTTTGGGGGACACATGTCTTAGCCTCCTAATTGAGTGGAAACACGTGAGGCCGGGCTCCCTCTGTGGGCCACTGCTGTGTTCCACGTGGAACAGCAGCTCCTCTGTGGCAGGTCACGTGGACTTTCCCTCTGTTCCTCCTGGCGCTGGGCTTCCCTCCCCTTTCGCTCTCAAATCCCTGGGGCGTCTCCTAAGACCCAGGTGTGAATTCCTCTGTGGCCGGCTCTTTCCTGCTCCCATTCAAATGCGGGTGGGTATCCCTCCACTCTAAACAAAATTGCCATTTTTACTGAAACCCTCATTGCCCAAAGAGCAACTAACTTAAGCTTCTTAAGTCCCCAGAGCGTTGATTCTTTGAGAACTATCATTTACTTCCAAAAGTCTTTTTCAAATAGGGCAAAATAACTAAGTGTCCAGTCTCCAATGACAGAAATCATGAAGCAGCTTTTGTCTTATTGCTGTCTGGTACCTTTAGAGTCTTCCTGTGACCAAAGTTGTCATCTTCATCCAATCTGGTCTCTTCCAAATCCACCTTTGGCCTGTATGTCTAAATAGTAGCCTTAATCCAATTTCTTCACCGTGAAAATTCAATCGACTATACCCAGATTCGTCAGTTTCTCTTCCAGGTACCTCTTAGCCTTTTCCTTTTAGGAAAATTAGTTGAATTATTAAATACTTCTCACCCTCTCCTTTTCCTTGTGACCATTAATCTTCTTCACGGTCGAACCTTTGTATACAACTTTTCTCTTTCTTGTCTCCAGTTTTCCTTCCCTCTGTTCTTTCTTCTTTTCTTTCCTTCTCTTCTTTTGGACACTGTTAAATACATTGCTTCCTGTTCTATGATAGGGGCAAGACAAATTGCGCTGTTTTCGCCCCACCTTGCCTGTGACACGGGTGCCATCGCTGGCTTTTCCGTTGCCACTCCTTGGAGTTGCCAGCGTCCTTCACAGCGAATCGTCCTCTGCCTCTCTTGCGTATTTCACACGCTGTTCACACGACCACCTAGAGCTGGTCTCTCTTGCATCATCTGTTTATCTCGGCGTCGGAAATCTCCTACGTGCCAGCTGACAGCGGATGGGGGCTCGATAACAGCTTTGCAGCTCTAGGTGGCTTTATTTCTCAGTTTGCATTCCTAAGTACGAATTGCTTTTACTCAGTCCCTTTTATTCTAAACTGATTTTCATGTTCTGTATTTCAGCGAGAATATAAAAAGCTTTTTGAGGAAAACAAAGGAATGTATCATTTTGATGCGGATGCCGCGGAACACCTGCACCACAAAGGCAACGCCACCCTCCAGAGTCAGGTATGTGCTCCTCGGGCTCGTGTCCTCCCGGCTGGGACCCTGCAAGCGTCCTGACACCTGCCGCTCATGGCCACGTACCTTCACGGGGAACGTGCAGCTGCAGGAAAGAATAGGTACCAAGAAGGTTAACAACATTGCTTCGGAAAATCTCAAACACTATTTTCTATGTATTTATTGGACCAGGGAAGCTTGAACCGTATTTCAATATAGAGGCATTTTATAAAATAACCATTACTTCACATACATAAAAACTTACAAGATATGAATTAATTAAACCGTGGTCAAATCTCATGATGATTTAAATTTTTATTTATTTATTTATGTTTATTTCAGCATATTACGGGGGTACAAATGTTTAGGTTACATACATTGCCTTTGCCCCACCCGAGTCAGAGCTTCGAGCGTGTCCATCCCCCAGACGGTGCGCACCGCACCCGTTAAGTGTGAACATACCCATCGTTTCCTCTCCTAAATTTTTACAGTATACTGATTTGTCGTTTTAAGCTGCAACATTAATTTTCCAGGTGCAAGATTTATTTTAATTTCTTAGTTCAATTATAACTATTATTAAAAATGGAAAACAATCGAATCAATATATTCTAGATTAATATTTCTTCCAACTAACAACTTCTATGTACCCCCTGAAAAAACATAAAAAAAAAATCTTCCCAGCATACTTTAAAGTCGATATCTATTTTTTAAATTCGGAGTTTAAATAGTTGTAAAAGATATAATTTTCAGCATTTGTTAAGATAAAATTTTACATCCCTCTTTTAAGTGTATTCTGTGAAACATAAATTCCATAATGGTTCCATACTCACCTTCATTTATTTTAAAAATTTACAAAGCAGCAATTTTACAAATTTACAAATGGCAAGCACATCATTTTTTCTCTTGAAATTCTTAATTTCATTTCATTGTTTTCATAACATTTTATCCTAATGGCATATGCTATTAATATTATACTTCTGACACTTTTATTGACTACTTTATCATACTTCTCTGAAACAAAAATATGTCTACAAATAGGTGTTTTGAAATTTGTCCTATTTCCTGTCACCATAAGGTTCTACGTATTGAAAAATTTCTTTTGGGTTGAATTATCATTAGCATCATTATTATTTTACAACTTTAGAAATAATTCTATAAGTAATTATTAAGCATAAGAATTTTAATGAAAATGCATTTTGGAAGTGAATTTTGATCAAAACTTTTCTATGAATTTAAAAAGGTATATTGCTTAAAAAGCCAACCACTCTGATGGTTTACATATAATTTTAGTTTTTGTTATTAGGAGGTAGAAAATACTGCTCATTTTAAAAACTGAAATAAGATGAGGATTGACTATCACTGAAATAAATAATTTATATTGTGATATTATTAAGTAATACATGGCGAAACTGAAAGAAATCACATAAAATATCTCTGTATATATTTCACTCAGTGTCTATGAAAAAAATTCGACAGTTCCAGAGGATATTGTCCTATGCTTGGCAGAAAAATAGAGAATCACACCTATGTTTTCTTTCTTGCTCGTGATTTACTAATAGACATAAAAGTTATCACAGGGACCTGTCTGCGTCTCTGTCTGTCTCTCTGTCTCTCTAACCTACCTGTATACATATACCACGTGCATATATATAATCCCATATATATGATATGTACCTGTATGTCCCAGACATTTGATGAAATATACAAGTCCTGGAACTATATTATTTAGTTGTCCTAAATTATTTTTATCCCTTAAAAACTTTTATGTATTACCTGTTTACTTTCTTTGCATGTCATTAACCACAGGGTGCCAAGTGGTCAACCTAAATGGCCAGAATAATTTGATTTTTAGAAAATAAGATGATTGATTTTAGACATATATTTTTTTAGACATATATTTGCTCTGTGTGTATAAGGGCTTTTGATTTTTATATACTGGCATACTTTTTTTCAATGAAGGTGAAATACAAAGAGGAATATGAAAAGAACAAGGGAAAGTCAATGCTGGAATTTGTTGAGACGCCATCCTATCAAGCTTCAAAGGAGGCTCAAAAAATGCAGAGTGAGGTGGGTCATTTGGTTTGTTACTAATTAAATATACACACTAAATAATTTGTTTATTGTATATTTGATGCTTTATGATTTGAAAGGAACTAGTAAAGAGACTCAGGATGTTTGGTAGGTCCAGAAGAAAAAGCTCTGCTCTGGGCAAATTCAGGGACCTACCTTCAACATCCAGCCGCCCACTGCCCGGGTCTTGTCCAGGTCACTGCGTTTGTCTGGTCCTTAGTTTTCTAGTTTTTCTCATTTGGTTAACGTGGATCTCAAGCCAGATTATTTTTTGCAGTTATTATAATTTTTTAAAATTTCAGAATATTATAGAATATTACAGGGGTACAAACGTTTTGGTTACATAAATTGCTTTTGTACCATTTGAATCAAAGTTGTAAGGGTGCTCATGCCCCAGATGGTATACACTGTACCTGTTAGGGGTGAATTTACCCATCCCTTCCTCCCCCTCCCACCTGCTTGATTTCCAAGGAATGTTATTTCCATATGTGCACATGGGTGTCAATCGATTAGTTCCAATTTAATGGTGAGTACATGTGGTGTTTGTTTTTCTATTCTTGTAATACTTCGCTTAGAAGAATGGTCTCCAGTTCTATCCAGGTTAATATAAGAGGTAATAGTTCACCATTTTTTTTATGGTACCACGTTTTATTAATCCATTCATGTGTTGATGGGCATTGGGTTGTTTCCACATCTTGGCAATTGTGAATTGTGCTGCCATAAACATTCGAGTGCAGGAGATGAGCTCTTAAAGTCCCTGCCAGCTCTCATGTTCCATAATTATATAATCAATGCTGTCAGATTGTGTCAGTATAAAACTCTGATGAGTACATAAAAACTAAAAAGAAAATGAAGAACTGGTTGCCTGTTTTTTTTTTTTCAATGACAATAGACCTGCCATTAATTAAATACTCTGCGGTAGGTGCTATGCTAAGAGGCTCATCTATGTCAGTGCCTTCAGTCCCCAAAGTAGTGATTGTAGGAAGGTATTCTCCCTAGATTTATAATGTATCTACTAAAATTAATTATCTTAAATAAAATTATATCTATCTAGTAAATGTCAATGTTTTAGGACCTGGTCAAAATCATGAAAGATTCCCTTTTTTTGGTTAATTTATGTCTTGGTCCGTTTTGTGCTGTTGTAACAGAATACCACAGACTGGGTAATTTATAAAGAGCAGAGATTTATTGTAGTTCTGGAGGCTGGGAAGTTCAAGATCCAGGGGCTCACATCTGGCGAGGGCCTTCTTGCTGTCTCATCCTGTGGCGGAAGGTGGAAGAGCAGGAGAGCGTGTGCACGCATCTGCGAGAGAGGGAGAGACAGAGAGAGAGACAGAGACAGAGACAGAGACAGAGAGAGAGAGACACATAACCAAACTCAAACTCATCCTTTCATCAGGAATCCACCCCCATGATAACAAAGCCACTCCCATGATAACGGCATCAGTCCATTCCTGAGGGTAGAGCCCTCATGACCCAATCACCTCTTAAAGGCTCCCCCCCTCAACTCTTGCATTGGGGATTAAGTTTCCAACACATGAACTTTGGGGATCACATTCAAACCATAGCAACTTATTTAATTGATTTCTTTTTTCCTCCAGTAAATAGTCAGGAGTTTTTTCTATTTAGCTACTTTATTCCCAAACATGATAATGCTACGTCACATTCAGATATTCCTCACTTGTTTTTTCTCTGTTCCAGTGAGATTTCTTTTTTTCTTTTTCTTTTTCCTACCTTTTCAGGAACCAGACACACAAGGTTTTGTCTGCAGGCGACATCCAAATTCTATGGGTGCAGCTGGGTTCTTACTTCAAAGGGACAGAAGTAGTGGACAGTAGTATCAGCCAGTTACAACCTCAGTGCCTCGTGAGAGGCAGCCCCAGTGGGCAAGATCTTTTCTGTTGTCCAAAAACAACTTCAAAACGGGGTAATGACAACTTCTGGACAAAAGACTCCCGTAGGCATTTTGTAAGCATTATATGTGCTGTTTGTTGAAATGTTAGAATTCATCTTCTTAGGAAAAGGGCACTCAGATGTTACTGTGGTTTATTGAATAGTCAATATTTCTTCTTCAAGCAAAAGAGGAGAAAAGAATTCTTGTATTTTTTATGTTTAGTATCTTCTTAAGCCAATAAGGGGGAATCTGATAAAGAAATGTCAGGTAACTATTTTGACTAAATTAGCTGTTTTAGCCAAGTTGGCAGAAGTAGTAAATTTGGTCAAAGTTCAGAAGCCCTATGAAAACTTTGATTTAATGGAATACATTTTACTGGAATCCCTTTTCTGCCTTTAGGTAACAGTATGTAAAGTAATTTACATATTCTTTACATAGCTTTATTGGCTTCCACTGTGGTGGTACTTTTTGGGTGGGCTAGAGCCACCTGGTGAATTTCTCTGTTTTGTAGGAATAATATGGCCATTGTCACTGACCCATAGCCCAGAGAAAGGTTTCTGCTTTTGGGAGCTGTCATGATGCTTTCCTTTAGTGGGTTCTCTGGAAGTTTAAATTTCAGACTATATAAAGTTGTAAAATAAAATTTCACTAAAAGATGCAGGGATCAAAAATTTACTTTTCTGAAACCAGCCTCAGGTTCTTCCCTCCTCGGCTTCCTCTCTCCCTTTACTTCCCCTCCCTCCTCTTCGATCTTCATCCATAGAAACATTCACACTGAGGACTGTTTTTTCATTCTGGTCCCACGGTTCCTTAATTTATTTTTCCTACTCTGAGTAGTTAACTTTCCTCTCACAAACCAATAAATCCTGGAACTTATAATTCGTGGTTAGTGTATTCTAATACCATGTTTCTGTATTAGAAATGACAGTCATTTATGATTTGGGACTTTAGCTTCTCCTCTCTCATGATAAGTCTCTCCTTTCTTCACCTGACTTATTCTCTCACTCCTGCCAAATGAGAGATGTTTTCCGTTTAATTATAGTCATTGACTATTAGATTTTTTAGGCTCAACAACTGTGTCTTGAGGAGAGTGAAATCTTCCTAACAGAAAATATCTTTAGACCCAATTTATACTCTAAAGGCTAGAAAAATAAAGTAGCTAAAAATCTTAGACAAGTTCAGTGTGAAAAATGTCTTTAAATATAGGGCTAATGAAGTAGCTACAAAGAGAACGAACCATCAGTGCTAGAGATGGTTTTTATTCCTTAGAGGGAGGCTTGACTATGAAGTTTTCTTGGGGAGCCTCCTATGGGTAAAACTAAGTATTTATGATCTCAGGAAAAGCCATTGATATCTTTGCAATGGCCTGTAATTAAATTTATCTCACTTTCTTCTAATGCCAGATGCAGGTTTAATCTGTGTGTTTTCTAGAAGAAATCCCTAACTCTGGCTTTGAAATGTTTTTATCTTCTTTCACAAATATAGCTTTCCTAACAAAAAGCATACCAAAACTTTTTTGTTTTTTTCTCTAGCTATATATTTTGGCCAATGCTAGTCATAACTAACCTCCCTTCATGACTAACTTCAGTAAAATAGTTTTTTTTTTTTTTTTCAGAGAAGGGCTTTTTGAGGTGAAATAGCTAATATGAATAAATGAATGAATGAATGAATGCCCATGGATTTATATTTCACCATTTAAAGAGTCCTTTTTTGGCCTGGAAATGCCCTTCTAACCATATTATCTCCACTGTTTCCATGTAGGAAAGAAGACAGTTTCTCATCATTGTTCTTGGTATACCCATAGTTCTTCTGTTCAGAATGTTCTCAGTGCAACTTCTTTATTAGTTGTCAGGTTAGCAGAACATCCTTTGTGCCCTTCCTTGTAGCTGCACAAGGCTACACATTGTTAAATAGCTGTACGTACTTAACACAAATGCTAAGCGAGGAGACAACCAGCTTCTGTTCTCCCTCATGATTTGGAGAAATTATTTATCCAATTACTTATCTCTGTAATAAATGTATAATGAATAGCTATGCATTTTGCATGAGTAATAAGCACATACAGAATTTATTTGTATCATCTTTGTGATACAATTTTGAATGAAACATTTGGTTGGTGAAATCTGGGCCCTTGTTTAGTAAATCCTTTGCATGGATAGATATTTTTGGGATTTAATAAAATCACAAAAATTTAACTGCTACACTAGGAAAAAATTTTTTCCCTGGGGCCATGGTGTTTTATGACAAAAAGATAATAAAAACTTCAAAAATAAAATGATCCTTTCTAATTTAATGAAAAATTTGTTATTTTTTGTTGTTTTCTGTGCATGAGTTAAGTGCAACTCACGTGGCACTAGAATTAATTTTCGCACTGCACACCAATTGAGTTGTATGTGACTCATGACATATTTATTGAATTTGTTTCAGAGAATTGAGTTTTCATATGCTTCACAAGGCCCTGGACTCAAAACTAGCATGAGTTAAAGACAACTCACATGGCAGTTAATGTGTTAAAGGAACTGTCTTATAGTCATAAAGCATGTGTTACCACTGATTTTCAAGTGCATAGAAATTAGAGAATCACAGTCAGAGAGTGGCAGAGTATGTCAAAGGGGCGTCCAGGGGTATGAATCTCGGACTCCCACAATCACCATTCATAATCCCCTTTCGTGTCTTGTGAAATCTCACTTAAACAAGGATTTTTCAGTTTCCTGGTAAGATTTTCCTCACAATGTAACTTGATTCATATCAAACTCCATAAGAGGGTAGAGTAATATTCTCAACGCCAAATTCATTAAAGGAAAATTTCTCCTTCCACCAACCCAGCCTCCATTACACTTTAGAAGTGGTATTTCCTTAGTTCCCAAAAGACTGACAGTGAGAAGAATGATGGTACGTTGGTTCGAATGGGTCCAGGACACCAGATTGTCTTCCAGTGATGAATCCACTCACTTTTGAGTAAATGAATTAGGTGATCCAGTCAAATAGCCAATGTTATTGGTTCCCCTCCTAAAATGAGCTGTTAATCACAGACTACTAGTAAGTTGTTAAGCAACCTCGCTTAGAATGATTTACCAAAGGAAGGTTGTAATAATTCTGCTTTTGTTTGGTAGAATTCCAAAATTTATAGTAAGGTTGAACTTTCTTTTTCCTGTTGGTAAGATGACCCTGAGGTGATAGAATTAAATAAGAAAACATCAGTTTTGTTCCGGGGACTCACTACTATTTCCTAAACTTAAAATTATGTCGTCTTATTTAACAGAAAATTTACAGAGAAGATTTTGAGAAAGAGATTAAAGGAAGGTCATCATTGGATTTGGACAAGACTCCAGAATTTCTGCATGTGAAGTACATCAGCAGCCTTCTGAGGGAGGTATGGCCTGCTGTTTACTGTTGAATAATCACAAAAGAAAAGGAATAACTCAGATGTTTACTTGGTTTTCTACTAATTCAGCATTTGAGGTATCAACCCAGTGCTCTTTTTCGTACTTTGATCTTTACTACTAGAGTTTTGCATTTTCATTAAAAACAGAAAAGTGTGTGTTAACATTCTTGTTTAAAGCTGAGAGAAGAAATTACCCAGATTTCCTGGGAGAACTTGAAGAACGGTCAGGTTTTGTGTTTTAGTGGTCGCTTAGAGGCTCTACGAGTAGTTTTCTAGCTTTATAGCCGTGAGTTTTGAAAAAATATTTTGAATGTGGGTGGGACAAGCTTGATTCTTTCAAATTTAGTTATTATAAAACATACTTCGGAATTACCTTTTTCTATAGCTTGTCTGCCGCATCCCCATGGCATTTGATACGAGAAATGCGGTGCTTGCTTATATGTGAAGGTCTGGAGAAAGGGGAAGTTACTTGTAAGTAGTTTGTGTTCTAAGCAGGGAAAAAATAATATATTTAGCATAGAGAACAGAGAAACTCC